ATGGAGGGAGGAGGGAGAGGAGGAGGAGGGAGGGGGGAAAGGTGGGAGCCTACGTTTGTGATAAACCATGTTGCGGAAGCTGTGGAAGAGGAGGGGGAGGGGGAGGAGGAGGGAGGGAGTGTGAGTGGGCGTCGGCTTCTGTGCAGTGGCGGGCGGGGAGGCAGAGTGGCGGGAGGGGGAGGAGGGGACAATGTGTGTGTGTGTGTGTGTGTGTGCATGTGCATGTGTGTGTGTGTATGTGTGCATGTGTGTGTGCATGTGTGCTGCTGTACCAGTACCTTCCCCCCTTCCCCCCCCCCCCCCCCTCGCCCGGCCTCTTCCTCATTCGTCACGTACACCTTACGTGGAGCAACACAGAGATGGAACATCTGCCACATGGCATACTCAAAGTCCATTTGCTTGGGCTTGATCATCCGTCGAAAGTACTCGGGCACTACTGATGAGCTTCGGTAGCCAGACCGGAAGTTACCCGGGAGCTCCATGGTACCGTTATGGGGGGGGGGAGAGGGCAGGAGAGCCAGGTGCGAGTGCGGTGGTGGCCAGTAACTGGATGCCGGTGGCTGCCGCGGCCAGTCGACGACGGCGTCGGCGGGGGGTCCATTAGTCAAAGCGGTTGCATTTGTAATGCAGCGCCATCCACGCTGGGTTAGGTTGGACTATGATTGGACTGCGATGTAGTGGTGCGGGAGTGCGTCATGTTGATCATGGACAGAGCCGGCGTGGAAGCTGTCGTCCGAGGGCGCCTACTACACGTAGACCCGTTCGGCGACGCCTTCGGGAACCGAGGCGGGGCGAGTGGTACGAGCAAAGGCTTCGGCTTTGGACTTGATAGTAGTGGCGCGCTCAACCTCGGTCGCCATGGAGCCGACAAGGAGGTCGACGGTGGTGTCGATCTCACCGACCACGACGCCGAGCGGGTTGTCCGAGGTGCGGACGGCATCGTCGACGGCGGCGACGCGTTCGAGAGCAAGACGGCTGCGGAGAGCACGGAGTGACGCGCGGGTTGCACGTTGTTGTCTCAGGCCGCGCCCGCCGTCAGATGGCTCGCTGTTGTCGCCAACGCCGCTGGCCACGGCAAGCTCTTTGACCAGCTGGTCGTGCTCGGCGGCGACGACAGCGCGCGAGACCCGTGTCGCACGTGAAAGCGAGGCGGCCTCTGCAAGCGCAGCCTCACGCTTGCGGGCGTTTTTCTCACTCAGCACCGCCTCAGCCTCGGCTTCAGCTAGCGCCAGGTGCTGCGACGACGCCACCCGAAGGTGCAGAAGCGACCGATCGGCGGCAGAGTCTGCCGCCGCAAACGCCTCCGCGGCCGCATCGTACCGCAGTGATAGCTCGTCGACCTGTTTGGAGTAGTAGCCGGCGTCGAGCGTCGCCGACCGCGACGCAAGCTCGACCGAGAACCGGACCGCTGCGCCGTGTCCACGGACCGCAAACGGGTCGAGCACAACAGGCTCGGCCTCGATGGTCCTTCGGATGAGAGGCGTCCGCCGACCGGGAAGAAAAACCTCACCCACGGCCTCGGCCGCCGTCTCCATGCCAGGCGTCACCTTGTATGCTGGGAACTCGAGCCGCTGCTCGCGGCTCGGCTGGCTCACTCGCGCCAGGTCACGCATGCGGTGGCGCGGGAGCGGCGTTCGCTCGATGCCGGAGGCCAGCGAGGCGTTGGTGAGATCGTCAATTCCACGGTGAACGCCCATCTCGTCGAGTAGGAGAGCTTCCTCATCGCCGATGACATATTGGACGCCCGAAGGTCCCATAATGACTCCGCGCGGAACTAGACCGGCTGTTGACGGCCTCGCACCACCCACGGCCTCGCCTAAAGAGCTTACTGCGGTTGTTTCGTCAAGTGCGTCGGACCAGCCTGACCGCGATGTAAGGCCGCCAGCCGAGGCGGTTGATGGTGACATCGCCATACTGATGGTCGGCGCTGAGAACAGGGTCGAGTGGCTCTCCATCTGTGTCACCAATGCGACAGTCGACCGCTGCGACGCAAGTGCAGTCGTGCGTCGCGGCGTACGCCCGGGTGTGCCCGTCAGAAACGTCCGTGTGGTGCTCGGAGGCGAAGGCGGATGCGCTTGTGGCGACGGCTGCAACTCAGTCGATGATGCCAGCCGCGCCACCTCTAGCATGGCCTCGCCGTGGGCAAGCTCGTTGGCGGCTCGCCCATACATCTCATGCATCTTGTCCATCACGCCCTTGTAGTCAAAACCCAGCTCGTCCAGCACCGTCGGGCGGTTGCCCGCGCCCAGAAGCTCTGGGTCGTGCCACGGCTTGCCATCGTTGTCAGAGGCTTCAGTCGAGGCTGTCGAGATGGCGTCGTCCGGAAAGGCACCATTGACAGGCGTCCACGGCGGAGACGGCGACATTGAGCCCGAGTGCGAGACAGTCTCGTTACTAGAGGCATCAGCCCACGACGAGTCGTCTGACGACGCGGGGTGCAGCGCCCAGAGTGTCTCCCATGTCGAGGCCTTGGGCGCGCCAGTCTTGGACGGACGAGTCCCGGCTAGTTGCCGCGGCCCGCGGTCTTGCCCATGCTTTGCGCGCGAGACAGAGCGGGGAGCAGAGTTGCGACCACGGCTTCGGCCAGAGCGGCGGCGATGGCGAGAAGTCGAGCCTGGACGCCGCTTGGGCAGCGACGACGGTCGCGCATCCGAGCGCGATAAAGGCCGCGAGTGAGTGCGCGGTGCGGACGATGCTGGCCGGCACTTTGCGGTTGTCGGCGACAGGTTTGGGCTCGAGTGGACCCGTGGCGCAAGCCATGAGCCGCGGCGAGCTCGGGGCTGACTTGAGCTCGGCGGCGAGCCGAGCTGTGTCATAGAGCGCGACATGGAGCGCGAGATCGAACGCGAGCGAGATTGCGAGCGAGATCGCGAACGCGAGCGGGTCTGTGACCGCGAGTGCGAGACTGTCCGAGCCAGTGACGCCGGCGCTTTGGCATGCGAGTGCGGGAAGAGCTTGACTTGCATCTCAGAGACAAGAGGACGGGTGATGCGGACGCCCATCAGAAGCTCGGGAATGAGCCGCCAGGTGACGTTGCGGAGACGGGCATCGAAGACGACCGAGGGCGTCGTCTCGCCGCCAAAAGCAGGTGCAAACGAAAGAAAGACGGCCTCGGCGAGCACGTACGGTCCGTAGCGGAGGAATGAGGAGCGGAAGAGCGACGACAAGCCGCGGTTTCCCGACACGGTGGCCGGGCGGATCTCGATGGCGTCGCTCATGAAGCGGACCCACGCGGCGCCGGCGTTCTTTGCCAGAGCCTTCATCAGCGGATGTTCATGGGTCACTTTGTCGGCCTCATGTGCTGGATGCTGCGAGCGGTAGCTCATGAGCTGAAAGTAGGCCACAAAGACGTACCAGAAGAGACACACGCTGAGGCCCACGAGCCGGTCCGAGTCCCAAAAGTGGACAAACGACGCCCGGCCCATGCCGGGGACGACGACGGCTCCGCGGACACCATTTAGCGCACGGAGCAGCAGATCGTCGACTACAAACGGAAAGCCCGCAACTCTGCGGACAACAGTCTCGCGGATAGACTCGCTGCCTGTCCGGACAGCCAGCGCGCGGGTCGTCTTCCACCCGCGGCCAGAGGCGAACAACTGGCGCGCCGCAGCCACCGACAGCGCCTCGTCCATGCCCAGTTCGGATCCGCTCGCCACGGATCCATCGTCGTTGTCACTGCTCTCCTCGAAGCTCATGCCCAGCTTCCGTGCCTCGATATCCGCCGCCTCTTCCAGCGCTCTGGACACGGCTCTGTCCGCCTCGGCCTCCCCGTCGGCCGCCGCATACAACCGCTGAGCCCAGTCCATGTTCAACTCGGCCCACACTGTCTTCCCCTTCTCCGCACCAACTGCAAGATCAGTTGTGGGGTGGGGGAAGACGAGTAATGTTCCAGATGCAGACGACGTGGGTTGCGGGAGTGACCGTGTGGAAGCGTGTGAGCAGCTCGGCTGCACGTGCCAGCAAACTTTGTTTCGCGCCGCTCACGCTCTCGCTGGAGCTCACTCCAACAACCACCTTGTTGGAGCTCACACCAACAAAGATTCCAGTATGTTTAAAGGTGCATGACGTGCCTGGTCAGAGCCAAGCTCGATTACCTGTGGTGGTACTTGCAGCGGCTGGTAAACTCGAGGATGGCGCCATACTTCCGATATACCGCCTCGGCTTCGCTACCATCCATGCCCTCGGCCAGACCCAGGACCCACACTCGACATGGTTTTCCGTGCTCATCGCCACTCTCGCTGGCAGCAGAGAAGTTGGCAAGGACAGGGAGAAGATCGGCAAGCGTAATTCCGCCGCAGTACGAGACGTCGAGACGTGAGAGCAAATGCCCGTACCGCGCTACCACATCGACCGCTTGCGTATCAATGCCTGGGCACTCGCTGACGTACAGCTCAACAAGCGGCGCATGTTGGTCCCTGAGCACAAACTCCAGCGCACCGACGCCGACGCCACAGCCAGAGACATCTAGCGATGTCAGCGAAACCCAGATCTGGACATGGGACAGAGTGTTGAAGAGCTTGTCTGTGATTCGCGGGCAACGCGCCACCGACAACGTCTCCAGCTGCTTGAACACACCCGCCAGCACTAAGGCAAGATCGTCTGAAATCTCGACACAGCCAGCCAGGTCAAGCGAGTTCAGCTGCTTTGCAGCTCGCTGGATCAACACTCGGACGCCCTCGTTGGTGATCTGAACGCATCCGGCGAGGCAAACCGAGACGAGGTTGGAAAACGCAGGCTCTCGCAGCGCGTCGCACTTGAGACCGGCATCTGTCACTGCGCTGGCGTGTGGGAGGACAAGTTCGCCTGCAATCGCGCCAATGTCAGCTCCACCACACGCTGCCTCCGCCGCTAGCTCAGTGAGCGCGCTCAGCAGTGCGTCATCTACCATGTGCGGTGCCGCGACGTCGGCAAGCATAGCGTGCGCAAACCGGACCACACTGGCTGCAGCTGAGGGCTCAACCTCTAGATCAGCCAAGGCGCTGCAGTCATGGTTCAGCGCCACCACCGCTCCATCGATCAGGTCCACAGAGGTGAGGAATCGCGGAGCGGCAAGGCAAAACACGAGAACCCGCATGTATCTCGACCACCTTGGATGCATCGTCAGCCGCTCCGCGAGCCATGCGCTCTGCAGCGAGTGTAGCGTGACTATCGCCGGTACCTCGATGTCATCGAGAGCAACTAGACCCAGCTGCGCCAGTGCTCTGAGCTTTTCAACCAGCGCAAGCTGCGTATCAACAATCGAGTGCAGGATCTTCAGGTGCGCAAACAAGATCGGTCGGCCACTGGCAAACACGCCGAGCGTGCAGTAGAGCGGCAGTAGGTCCGGATGGCGCACAAAATAATGTTGATGTGCGCAAAAAGCTTGCTGCAAACAAGCTCTCGCCGCCGGCTAGGCGACAGGATAGTCACCGACTGCGTTGCCTCGGCCGCCAGCACCTTCAGATCGCTCTCTGAGCGGATCGTCTGCGCCTGCATCCGGACCGTCATCACGTGTCCATGAGTGTCTGCAACGACAACCGCCGCCGCGGCAGCAACGCACGGAGAGTTCTGCAGATGCTCCGGCAGGTACGCACGGAAGACCGCACTTGCCGTAACATGCGGCAGCACGTCGAGCGGGAGCATGATCGTACCAGAGCCCGGCATCGAGTCGCTCGTTGTCGTGACCACCACCGAGTGCGAGGTATCGCTCACCACACCTGCCAGGCAGTTGATCAGCGTCGGATCGTCAACGCCATCAAAAATAAGCAACATAGCAACCGTCGTCCGGCCCAGCTTGTCTGCCAGCCGGCCACCAAGCGCCTCCAGCGAGAGGTTGTCGTCGAAAATGTTCCTCGCCACGCCAAAGTAGTTGACAAGTGCATCGCAAAGCGCAAGGTTGCACTGGCCGGGGTATGGCGGGATCCATGCTACGTTACTATGCGATGCACGTCCAATGGCTCGCGCCAGCTCAGACTTACCCGAGCCAGGAAGCCCGCACACGACCAAGGTCCGCCCTCCCGGCGCAAGCCTGTCCAGTGCGATGGCAAGGTCTGGCGGCTCAACATAGCGGTCAACGCCGCGGAGTTCCAGCTCGGCCCGCCGCATAGCAACGTCCTCTGGCGCACAATCGCGCGATTGCAGTGCAAGCCGGCGCGCGCGCACAGCCATCTCGTCGGCGTGCAGCGTGCGCGCTCGCTCGGCAATATCGTCGAGTATATCGTCGAGCACGTAGTCTTGGGTGTTGTACGCAGCGAGACCTATTTGCCGCAGCCGTCGCACTAGATCCACCCGTGCATCCTTGTCGGCCTTTGCCCACTTGTCCATGTTCTCGGAGCCGTTCTCGGTGAGGGCTGAGAACGCAGAATCCATGTACTGAATGAGAAAGTGTGGTTCGCCTGCCGGAGCCGGAGTCCCCATCCATCTTCGCAGCGCAATATGGCTCATCTCTGCATCGGCTAGCACCGGCAGGACCACACACTGTGAGGCAGGATCAAGAGCAGCTTCAGCCTCGGCCACAGCCCAGGTCGTCACCAGCATATACTTGGAGACGAGAACGATGACCACCGTCGAGCACCGCGCCATCCGTGCCAGAGCCTCCTCATTCCCGCAGTATCGTCCGTCAAGCGAGTACACATCTAAAAACACCCGAAGGCCCATCGCCGTCAGTCGATGATACAAACTCCGCGCCATGCGCTTGTCACATGAGCCGTGGCAGATGAAAATGTCCCATGAGTCGCCAGACTCGGACGTGCCAGGCCTCCGAGTCGGGACGTGCGCAGCAGTCAACGTCTGGGTAGTAGCCACAGCAGCAGCAGCAGCAGTAGCAGCAGCTGCCACCACTGCAGCAATGGTACTAGACGCAGCCATGCATACAGAAGTCAAGTGCTTTGCTCCGGCACCTCCTTGTGGGGCCGTGACAAGCTCGTGCCAGGTGTGACGTCGCGGAGAAATAGTGTGAGCAACGAAATGCGAGTTCGGGCCGAAAAAAATGGCAGGCGGTCGGCTTTGGTCGTACCAAGCTTCTCTCGGCATCCTCAGGCGCTGCACCTGAACTCTTTCGCGTACGTAGCTTTGTTCACTTACATGACAAGGACAGATTTGACTATCAGTACGCCAGCCCGTTGGCCAGAAGCTGGCGTTGTCGCCGCCAATCGTAGGCTTATTTTCAGGCGTAGGAACTCTGGCCCCATTCACCCCGAATTTGTTCCTTGCGCAAGTGTGACTTCTCAGCCAGCTCATCGCTGCACAGCAACACCATCACTCACCCACTACCGCCTTGTCTATCCTTTTCTTCCTTTTTCTTGCACATAGGCTCGTACCTACTCTGATACGACACCCACGCGGCCATCCCCGGACACCGAGACGGTCCGGTTCGATAGCCCAAAAAAGGTCGAAGAAAGAAAACGCTTCAACGCCTGTCGCATTTGCGACTTGCCTTTTTCGCGGAACATTGCACGCTTCTCTCGCGTTCCACAGCAACGTAGGGTCTCGTCTTGACCGCCAGCTCCAACCCTTTCTACATTCTGTTGTATCAGGGTCGTCATGAGCTCGACTGTCCCGGCGTTTGACGTCTGGCTCACCTATAGCGGCGAGCCTGAACCGGGCGTGGGCGACTGGGCTTTTGCGCTTGTCTCGCAAGTGGCGAACAACCTCGGCACGCCACGGCCGAACGCGCCTGTCCGGCTCTCTGTCGGCTATCGCGATGTCGACACCCAAAACTCCGAGGCTGATGCCCTCTTGGCCACTCGCGGAGGTGTGGTTGTCCTCATGATAACGCCGAGCTTTGTCAACAACCGCATGGACCTGAGCTGCATTCGCGAGCTCGCGTGCCTTGGCGAGCTCGTCGGCACCGGAACGGGCAAGATCGAGATCCTCCCGGTCCTCATTGGAGTCTCGGCCAACGAGGCGCGCAAAGCGCTGGTCTTTGGACGTTTTTGCAGCTGTCTCCACTCGATCCTGGCCGAAGGGTCTGAGGCGCGATTGTACCTCGAGTTGCCGGCGACGCTCGACCGTGACAACCTCGCTACGGCTGAGGCCGTCATCGCTGACGCAGTCCGGGCCCACTTTTACGACAACAATCGTGTGCCTGGTGGCAACATTGACGACGCGTTTTCGTTCGTGGTCACTCGGGTCGACGACTACGTCCGGTTCTCGCCTCCTGACGACCAATTGGGCGTGATGGTACGGCTTGCACAGGTCTGCGCGCCGAACATTCCGGAGGACGGACTTGCGCACCACAACGTGCGCTCCATCATTGACGCGCTCCCGGCACCGGTGTCAACAACGCCAATTGCACTCCTGCGGCGGTTCTTTGTGGCAGAGCAGCATAGGCTGGGCGGAGCGCCGGCCGACGCACCAGCGGATCCGGCGCTGCTGGAGGCTGTCGAGCGAGGCATCGCTCTCATTGACGACTTTGATGCCAAGTGGCATGCCGTCCGCATGGTCCCGCGCAAGCTGCGCCTCGCCATGGACGAGCTCATTGTTGCCGCCAACACCTGGGCCACCCGCCTCTCTGCCAACCTCGGTGCGACTCCGGACGATGACACGATCTCGATTGGGTCGGACGTAGCCGGACCATCGGCTCCGCCACCGCCCACTGCCCGGATCATCGCGCGGAGCGAGACGGATGGAGCCGCGGATGGAGCGCATGCTGGGGCGGCGACCGAGGTTGGGAGCGGGAGCAGCGACGCCGTCACGACCGGCCCAACGGCACTGTTCACTCTGTCATCACCCGCAAGGGTGGGGACATTGTTATGGAACCTGGCCTTGATCTCCTTGCTCTCTATGACAGCATGCTTGAGATCATTTCGTCGATGGGCGACTCACGGTGCGGCAAGTCGTGGTTTGCATCGGATCTTGTCCGTGCGCTTGTGCGCTTTCTCTCGGAGCACGAACTCGGCTTTCCGCCGGATTGCCTTCCTCTCTACCCGTTTGATGTCCGTCGTGGATATCTCAAACACTGCACTCTGGGCGCAGACATGTTCTGGCCGCCAATCTTGCGGCGGGCGTTTGTTGAGCTCAGCTCTGACCGAGTCGACTTGGACGGTCCTGTGGCGACCGGTTTTGTGCCGAGCAGTGACGCGGACAGTAGTATCACGGACGAGGCAGTCGCCGACCTTTCCACCTCTGACACTCCTGTGCTCTTTATGGATGTCGAGGGCCGTGGTGGATGCGACCGGACCCACGAGCAGGATGTAGAGATCATGCTTCCAGTCATGTTTGTCTCGCGGGTCATCCTGTTCCACACCAAGTTGAACCTTCCGCGCGACTTGCTGACCCAAGTCCACCACCTTGCACTCGCTGCCCAGCAACTGCAGGGCTCGGGCCCGGCGCGCAAGCTCGGGCACCTCATCATCTGCCTCCGCGACGTGCAAGATGTCGATGCGGCGGACGAAATTGCCGAGGCCATGCGCGCACCCGAGCTCGCGGAGATGATGGCTGCCGTCGACAACACGTTTGCGTCGCTCTCGGTCGCGTGCCTTCCCCGCCGCTGGGCGGGGCAGCGATGCGCGATGCTAGCAAGCGCAAACTGGAGGCGCTTCCGGTTGATGCCGTGTCTGAGGCATGGCGCGATGCCATAGCGCAGCTGGCGGAGCTGATTCTGGTCCGCCTAGCCGATGGCCGCGACTCGCTTGCTGCGCAGCCGCTCAAAGGCAGCCAGGTCCATCAGCTCTGGACGCAGACGCTCAACAAGGCCGTGGAGGACTTTTCGGGAGCAGAGACGTTTCTGCGTTGCGCCGAAATGACGCGCGCGGCGCAGCGCGAGCTGCAGTTGGAGCTCGAGGCGCGGAGCGATTCGACATGGTCGCTGGACACGTTCACGGGTGAGATCGACCTGGTCTTTACGACCAAGCGCAATGCACTGCAGAGCGCGCTCACCGCGCATGGAACCGAGCTTTACAAGCTGCGGCACATGGAGCTTTTCAAAGCGTTTTATGCAAACGTCCTGCGGCCGCGACTGGTCTCGGCCTTTGCTGACAGCCGGCTCACTGAGTTTGTCGAGCTTGTCGGCCGGCTCGAGGAGGAGGTCAGCACGCAGGTGATGAACGGCAGCAAGCGCGAGCCCAAGTCGGTGCTCGCCATGTTCCGCAACATGCTCCGCTCTGAGCTCTCGCTGCACGAGACGTCTGTGGCTGAGGCTGTTTCGCTCTTTGGGCAGGAGGCAGTCGACGACGAGGTGATGGCGGCGATGGCAGCGTGTGTCGCGCGTGGCTTTGCCTGCCACAAGCTTGCGTTTGCAGGCGATGACGACAAGCCGCCGCTCCCACCGGGTGAGTTTTTCCTCCACAAGATCTTTGTCGAGCTACAGGGTGGGAATGCGGCTGCCGGGCGAGCGGCCCTTGCGCAACACGCGATTCCGATCATGGACCGAAACACCTCGTTCAACCTCCTTGCTCTCCTCCACAACGCGCAGGATCCGCGTCTCCTGGAGTTCTCCAAAGTCCTTCTGGAGGTGCACAAGCCACGTGGACACACGGCCAACGCGGTGTATAAGGCAGTCCTTTGGGGCGCATCGCAGTTTGGCAAGCTTGAGGATGTGGAGCGCTTTGTTTCGATGGCCGGCGCGCGAGCTCTAGACGGGCTTGACATGGTGCGACACTTTCAGCTGTGCTCTCAGGCGTACGGTCTGCTCGCGCTTCAGGAGCATGCGTCGCGGCGGATGTTTGTGATGGAGGCTCGCAAGGCGATTGCGTATGGTACGCAGGCAAAGAGCCATCCGGCGATCGGCCCCGAGATGGGCGAGGACATGATCGGGCATGCGCTGCTTCTTCTTGCGCTGTTCCGCCGTGACCAGCGTACGTTTGGAGGTACGCTGCAGCGGCTGCGCGTGCTCTCGCTGGATGACGTGCTCGAGGCGTACGACACTGGATACGCGCTGTATGCAGCCAACGCGTCTATCTCGGTCAACGAGCGTGTGGCGGATGTAGCCGCGGTGCTGGCGGAGCTCTCGGCGTTCGCGCCCGACTGGGCGGAGGAGCGCATTGCCGAGCTGTCTGCCCGAGCCGAGGCCGACGGCGCGTCGGCTATTGTCGAGCTGTGGGCGCATCTAGTGCCGAAGCAGGCCAAGCAAGGCAACATTGCGCAGGCCGACCGGTACTGCCGGCGTGTGCTCGAGCGCGGCATTGATGCCGTGTCCGACAGCCGGAAGGCCATGGTCCTTCGCAACTGTGCCGACTTTCTGGGCGAGCACGGCTCTTTCCCGGAGGAGCTTCCCCTCGTCGACGACCTGTACCGCAGGGCGTGCCTCGCAGCGGTGCAGTTTGGTAACGCCGACCTTGTCGAGTCGATGGCCAAGGCCTTTGGCTTTTATCTTGTCAACCATGGTCGGTTTGACGACGCCAAGCTTGCGTTTCAGTTTGCCGAGTTGCCCGACCCACGGCTCGTTCTGCGCATTGGGCGCGATTTGGACACAACAACGCAGGCGGCAGCTGGGCCGGCGTCAACACCAACGCCGACTCCAGCGCCGGCATCACCGCACGCTTTCAGGCCGAAACGCACTTCCAGGCCGGCACGCGCTTCCAGGTCGGCACCCGGCTGGTCGGGGGGCGCCCCATCAGGCACCACTGGGGGTATGCGTCGCCGCGGCTACAACCCTGGCAATCCGGTCATCGAGGTTCTTGACTCTACCTCGTCCGACGACGAAGAAGAGCCTGTGCTGCCGGAGCCGCATGCCACCCACTTTGCGCGCGGACCGGGTCATGCGGGCGGAGCTGCTCCATCTGCTCCCGGGGGCGCTTTTGCTGAGTTTGTGCGCATGGTGGCAAACGCGGCGGCCGCGTTTGGGCATGGAGCGTCGATGCCGGGCGCAATGCCGGGCGTGATGCCGGGCGTGATGCCGGGTATGGCGCCAGTTGGGATGCCGGGTGCGGTACCGGGCGCGGTACCGGGCGCGGTGCCGATGCCGGACCCGATGCCTTTTGGCGCGATGCCACGAGAGGCTGACGAGAGATCGGACACGCCCGAGTCGAGCGAGGATTCGACAGACTCGCTCGAGGCACTGCTTCGGCGCGCCTTTGGAAGGTCGATGCCGGTGGCGACGCCTGCGCGGCCACCTGAGTTTGGCAACGGCGCGGATGAGCTGCTGTGGGGCGGAGCGACGCGCGGCGATCTGTTCCTGGTTCGGAACGCACTGGGGCAGACGCCTCGTCCGAACGTTCAGATGTGCAACTCAAAAGGACAGTCGGTGCTGTCGCATGCTGTCGAGGCTGGGAACACGCAGGTTGTGAGTCTGCTCATTGAGGCTGGAGCAGCGGTTGACGCTGCAGATGACGACGGGCGCACGCCGCTGTGGTATGCGGCGCTCAAAGGCAACTCTGAAGTGGTCCAGCTCTTGCTCGACCGTTTTCCGGGCGACGAGCTTAACGTCAACGCGCGGCGGACGTCAAATGGATGCTCTGTCTTGTACGTGGCGGTCGAGGGCAAGTCGATGGCAACGTTGCGGGCGCTGGTGGAGAGCGGGCGCGAGTTTGACCTCGACGCGCGGGCAAATGATGGGAGGACGCCGCTCCATCGCGCGGCGCTTAGCCAGTCGGAAGAGATGGTGCGGCTGCTGATTGCGTTTGGCATGGATGTCAACATGCTTGACGAGACCGGCGACTCGCCGGTAGCATGTGCAGCGATCGGGAAGCACGCCGGGTCGATTCGGGCGCTGGTGGAGGCTGGCGCCGGCGTCAACACGGTTAACCAGCTCGGCTTGACGCCGATCCTGCTGGCGACGGTGATGGGCGCGACCGAGTGCGTGATGACGCTGATCGAGCTGGGTGCAAGTGTGCACGTGACCGACAAGGATGGGTTCAACATCCTCGCTCTGGCTGCGCTGAACAAGCGCACAAACATTGCCCGCGCTGCGCTCAACGCCGGGTGCTCGCTCGATGAGCCAGATTTGGAGAACCGAACGCCTCTTTGGCATGCCGCGCTCAATAAGTCTACCGACATTGTCAAGCTCATCCTAGAGCTCGGCGTGGTCGGCGAGCTCAGCGTCAACGGGGTGCGGAGCACCAACGGATGCTCGGTGCTGTACGTGGCGGTGGAGAGTGGTGAGATCGAGGTCGTCCGCGCGCTGCTCGAGTCGGACCACGCAGCGGAGCTCAACCTCGACCTCGCCACCAAGGACGGCCGGACACCGCTGCACAAGGCAGCCTTGATGGGACACGTGGAGATGGTGAAGGCACTTATTGATGCAGGTGCCACCGTCGACGCCGAGTCCCGCAGCCAGCGCACGCCGCTGTTCATGTCGCAGAACGCTGAGAGTCCGCAAGATGTGCGTGTGGCAGAAGCCCTGCTTGCCCATGGAGCCAACATCAACCACATCGACGAGGATGGATTGAGCGCGATGTGGCTTGCGACTCTCGCGAAAAAGGAGGAGCTTGCGTGCATGCTCGTTGCGGCGGGCGCCGAGCTGGACGTGAAGGACTCGGACGGCGACACAGCACTCATGTTGGCGAGTGTCCATGGATCTGTGGCAGTTGTGGACGCGCTTCTGACCGCCGGCGCAGATCCAAACGCAGCAAACCAGGCCGGGCGAGTCCCAGTCTGGGCAGCGGCCTTCAACCAGCACATCGAAGTTGTGCAGATGTTTCTGCAGCGTGTGCCAAGGGGCGAGCTCGACGTGGCACACCGCGATCTGGAGGGCCGGACCATGTTCTATGCGGCATGTGAGGGCGGGTCGCTGGCGATGGTGCAGCTGTTGGTGGACAGCGATCACGAGATCGACACCGAGTCGGCGTCTGTGGACCAGAACATGACGCCGATCTTTACTGCGGTTTGCCGCGACCACGTCGATGTCGTCCGGTGGCTGCTTGAGCGACAAATCGGCGGCTCACCTGCGGAGGTGGCAGCCGGGATGTTCTGCCCGCTTCAGGTTGCCGCCGAGCGCGGTAGCGTCGAGATTGTCCGCCTTCTCCTGAACTCGCCGGAGGTCGACGTCAACGCGGGGCGCGACACGCTCACAGCGTTTGAACTCGCGTGCAAGGGTGGCCACGTGGAGATTGCCGACCTCCTCGCCGCCGATGCACGGGTCGACACCACGCTGCGGCCGCTTGCAGTGGCCGGTGCTATCGCGGGCTTCAACCCACGGGCGAGGATGCTTGTGGAGCGGTACCATCAGCCACAGACGGCGTAAATAGAATCAATCAACAACCAGTGATCAATCTTGGGTGTGCCCCGCCCTGCCCCGCCCCAACTGCTAGTTTTCAGCTCCTTCCCCTTGCACACCAACTTTCTTTCCCTGCCGCCCCTCCCCCTCTTCCCCCCTTCCCCCTTTCCCCCCAATCACTCTCACTTGACTTAGCCTCACCAACAAGACATGCGTTGTGTGGCCTTTGCTCTTGCGCTTGCTGCGCTTGCCATGTGTGCCTCTGCTGGCCCGCTGTATGACTAGTACGTTTGCCCTGGCTCCCTTCCTTCCTACCCTTGTCGCGCGCACGTGACGTGCCAACGGCGACGTTGGACAGAGGCAGGCCAGCCGTGCCGGGAGCTGGCGGAAACGAATCCAACTCACCAAGAGGCATGGCGAGGACGGGGATTTAGTGTGCATGCTCCAGATGACGACTACACGTACGAGGTCATGAACCAGACCATCAAGGGTGTGGACTTTACCGTCTACAACGTGTTCCTCACCTCGGGTGAGTGGATGCCTCAGTACAGCAACAAGCCGATGTGGACGCACTGGCTGCAGGTGTGTGTCCCGCACAAGCCGCGAAAGGACAACGACATTGCGCTGCTCTACATCGACGGCGGTCACACCGCCAACAAGGCCTCGCCGCCATCCAAGGGCGATGCTCTGGTCGAGATTCTGTGTGGAACGACCGGTGCGGTCTCGGCTCACCTCTCGGCCGTCCCCTCGGAGCCGCTGGTCTTCTCCAACGACCCGTCGGGCAAGTCGCGGACCGAGGACGCCATCATTGCATGGACGTGGAAGGTGTGGCTTGAGAGCGGCGGCAAGGCCGACCCGACATGGCTCCTCCGCTTCCCCATGGTCCGCAGTGTCCTCCGTGCCATGGACACTATCGAGACCTTCACCGCGTCGTACGGCAAGGACCTTGTTCCGGTCCGCCGCTGGCTCCTCGCGGGCGCGTCGAAGCGCGGGTGGACGACGTGGATGGCTGCCGCGACTGCGGCGACTGCCGAGCGTCCCGACCGTGTCGTCGCCGCCGTCCCCATTGTGGCGCCGGTCGGCGATCTTGTGTTCATGATCGGCGACATGTACAAGGCGTACAATGGGTTCTCTTTTGCGCTTGACGACTACCTTGACGCCGGTGTCATCGACTACCTCAACCTCCCGCTGTTCCAGAGCCTGCTCGACCTGGTCACTCCGACCGGCCCGGGCTTTGCCGCCAACTACTCGCGGCAGACCATCCTCTCCATCGACGCCACCGGCGACGAGTTTTTCATGCCCGAGCCGTGGCGGGCCAAGACCGGCTCGTGGGTCAAGCCCATCGAGGACGCCGGCGCCACCGTCATCCAGCGCATGGTGCCCAATGCCGAGCACAGCCTCACCGGCCACCAGATCGACGTCGCACTCACTGTCCAGTCGTTTGCCGTCGCCATCATGGAGGGCAAGACCATCCCGGTCATGTCTACCTCCATCTCGGTCTCTGACAAGCTGGCCACCATCGATGTCCACATCGACCCGGCGTCGTCCACCAACTCCCAGCCCAAGAAGTGCATCGGCTGGCACGGGTACAACAAGCACACCCGCGACTTCCGCCTCATCACCTGTGCCGACTTTAAGAACCCGGCATGCCTCAACCCCATCCTGTGGTTCGACGAGCCACTCGTTCCCATGGGCAACAACTCGTGGACCTTCTCCCGCGCCGTCCCCGAGGCCGGTTATGAGGGCCTCTTCATCGAGTGTGAGTTTGACTTTGCCGGCCTCTCGTGGCTCGACCCGCTCAAGCTCACCTCGTTTGTCTCGGTCGCCCCCACCGCCTTCCCCTTCAAGCCGTGCCCGCCCACCGTCTGCGCCTCTGGCAAGTAGAGAGCCACCGCCCCAAGCACCCCCAATCAGTTAGTTAGTTAACACAGCCTTTTCGGCCTGACAGAAGCCCTCCCCCCCCCCCCCCCCCAAAAAAAAAAAAAAAA